TATATATATATATATATATATATATATATATATATATTTATCGTCCTTTATATATATATTAGTCGTGCTTTTTCCTTCCGATAAAACTTAGCGTAGCTTAGTAGTTTATAAACCTTCGTATCGAGTAGATTCTTGTCATCGTTGGGCCTCCAATTCTACATTAAAAAATTCAATAAATTTAGCCCTTGTTGTTCGTTGCAATTTCATTTCGAATAAAGGCTCCTGCGATGTACGATGATATCCTACAAAGGCAGTTATCGAATGTTAGTAAGACACTCAAAGATCTCGCTCGCCTCGATATTTTCGAAAGAGAATAAACCGACGATATTAACGTAGCTCGGAAGAAGAAGTTTGATTCTCGAAGTTTCCTCTTTGATGGAGTCTTAAACAAGCCTCGAGGGAAGGCCCTTATTAAATTTTTCCGGTGGAATATTCACGGGGGCGCGAAACGATCGTCCGCACTTCATTTATTCCCCCGCTCCCTCCGTTTTGGAGTTTCGGCGTTTCTCTCTGCTTTCTTTCGCCTGCGACGACGCAATGCCTACCGTCTGTTATTCCTACCTGTAACAAACCCCTCGAGTCTGGCGAGACGACTAATATCTGCAGCGTGCATCCCTCGTCAGTGACAAAGACGCATTATTATGCACGTTCGCAGCACGCTGTCGGCTTTCAAACAACCCTCTCCCTCCTCAGATAGCAACAATAACAATCGTGTCGTCTAGTCGCTTGCGCGGCACAAACACGCGCGCGTGCGCAGGAAGCGCACGCCCGATTTACCGAGCGCGCTCGTCGCGTCCCCTTCCAACGACACTTCCGTTTAAATTAACCGTGCTCCGACAAATTATTAACGCGCCCCGTCTGCGGCCGCGCGCATTCACACGCGCGAAATCACCTTCGGCCGAGAGAAACTGTTGCCGAGGACCTTCGACGAGAAAATTGACAATTTCGATGACAATTCCGTTTGGACGAATTTCGACGATTTTTCGTTTGGAATTTCGTTCCGCTGGTTCGTCCCATATATAGAATTCCCGACACGTCGACTGATGTTTAATTCAGCGGACTGCGCTGTTATTAGCCGAGCTGGATTAATTCGATGATTTTAATTTAAATTCAAATAGGAATGGATTTCTGGTTTGACGGAAGGCCGGGCCTACGTAATTTCTCACGCAATTAAGTAACGTACGTTTTAGAGTTTCAATGACTCGGACGTGATTTCTCCGTAAAAAAGAAGTTACGGTGTATAATTCTTATTAACGAATATTTAGAAGGTCGTCCAAGCCGTTTGTGCTTCTCTGACGATTGATCATCTGTCGGTGTTTCGTCCGCTGGGAACTGCGATTTTTTTTTTTTCATTCGGACTTGCACATTCCGTGACGTGTATTTATAGCCAAGCTGAAATCGCGGACGTTACGTTCACGTGGTTCGTGATCTTCGATCTCCGTTGTTCGCCTCGCGAGGATCACCGCGAGGATCACCGCGAGAGTAACCTTTGGACGCGTGGGTCATTTTGTCGAACTCGGCCATTTACCATCAGCCATCGGCCATAGAGAACCAAACGTCACGGTGCAACGTCACGGAGAACGTGTCGAGGGCAGTAACGACTCGCAAATATTTGCCAGGTCGGAAATTACACGTTTCCTAAGCTTCTCCGACTGTTCCGATAACAAACGAAACACAAGCGTTGACGCGCATCGTCTGTTCTCCGTCGTCTGACAGACAGATATATTCCGCATATATTTTTGCCAAACTTTTTCCCGCGACAAACTAACTCCGACAAATTAACTCGAGCTCAACGAAAGAAAGCCTTTCCACGCTTCGAATGGCAAAAAGAATTGCAATTCCATTTTTCCAAGATGCAATCTCTCCATCGATAACGAATGGAAACACGAGAATCACCGATCTTAACGATCCTCGTAAGTCACTGGCTTGGCGAGTACAGTTACGCGGCGTACCGTGATCATAATTCTCGCCACCTTAATTGTATTAATAAATCCAATTACATTGGTCGACATCGATTGAACCAGATAGCCGAATAATCGTCGCAAATGCCACGATCGGATAGAG